GTGATCACAGATTAACGCGATTTTCTTAAAAAGCTCAATATTAACTTTAGTACCAAAAATCGATATTTGGTGGGAAATATAAGTGATCACTCAATTGATTCAATTTTAGCATCAAAAATCGATATTTGGTAGGAAATATAAGTGATCACAGATTAAGGCGTATTTCTCAAAAAACTTAATATTAACGAAGTTATAGAGGTTTTAAGTTTTGACTCAATTTTAGTATCAAAAATCGATATTTGGTAGGAAATATAAGTGATCACAGATTAACGCGTTTTTCTCAAAAAACTCAATATTAACAAAGTTATAAAGGTTTTTAGTTTTGACTCAATTTTAGTACCAAAAATCGATATTGGTAGGAAATATAAGTGATCACAGATTAACGCGTTTTCTCAAAAAACTCAATATTAACGAAGTTATAGAGGTTTTTAGTTTTGAATCAATTTTAGTACCAAAAATCGATATTGGTAGGAAATATAAGTGATCACAGATTAACGCGTTTTTCTTAAAAAGCTCAATATTAACGAAGTTATTGAGGTTTTTAGTTTGGACTCAATTTTAGTACCAAAAATTGATTAACGCCTTTTTCTCAAAAAACTCAATATTAACGAAGTTATTGAGGTTTTTAGTTTGGACTCAACTTTAGTACCAAAAATCGATATTTGGTAGGAAATATAAGTGATCACAGATTAACGCGTTTTTCCCAAAAAAACTCAATATTACCGAAGTTATGGAGGTTTTTAGTTTTGACTCACTTTTAGTACCAAAAATCAATATCTGGTAGGAAATATAAGTGATCACAGATCAACGCGTTTTTCTCGAAAAACTCAATATTAACGAAGTTATAGAGGTTTTTAGTTTTGACTTAATTTTAGTACCAAAAATCGATATTTGGTAGGAAATATAAGTGATCACAGATTAACGCGTTTTTCCCAAAAAAAACTCAATATTATCGAAGTTATGGAGGTTTTTAGTTTTGACTCACTTTTAGTACCAAAAATCGATATCTGGTAGGAAATATAAGTGATCACAAATTAACGCGTTTTGCTTAAAAAGCTCAATATTAACGAAGTTATTGAGGTTTTTAGTTTGGACTCAATTTTAGTAACAAAAATCGATATTTGGTAGGAAATATAAGTGATCACAGATTAACGCGTTTTTCCCAAAAAAACTCAATATTATCGAAGTTATGGAGGTTTTTAGTTTTGACTCAATTTTAGTACCAAAATCTATATTTGTTAGGAAATATAAGTGATCACAGATCAACGCGTTTTTCTCGAAAAACTCAATATTAACGAAGTTATAGAGGTTTTTAGTTTTGACTTAATTTTAGTACCAAAAATCGATATTTGGTAGGAAATATAAGTGATCACAGATTAACGCGTTTTTCCCAAAAAAAACTCAATATTATCGAAGTTATGGAGGTTTTTAGTTTTGACTCACTTTTAGTACCAAAAATCGATATCTGGTAGGAAATATAAGTGATCACAAATTAACGCGTTTTGCTTAAAAAGCTCAATATTAACGAAGTTATTGAGGTTTTTAGTTTGGACTCAATTTTAGTAACAAAAATCGATATTTGGTAGGAAATATAAGTGATCACAGATTAACGCGTTTTTCCCAAAAAAAACTCAATATTATCGAAGTTATGGAGGTTTTTAGTTTTGACTCACTTTTAGTACCAAAAATCGATATCTGGTAGGAAATATAAGTGATCACAAATTAACGCGTTTTGCTTAAAAAGCTCAATATTAACGAAGTTATAGAGGTTTTTAGTTTTGACTCAATTTTAGTACCAAAAATCGATATTGGTAGGAAATATAAGTGATCACAGATTAACGCGTTTTTCTCAAAAAACTCAATATTAATGAAGTTATAGAAGTTTTTAGTTTGGACTTAATTTTAGTACCAAAAATCGATATTTGGTAGGAAATATAAGTGATCACAGATTAAGGCGTTTGTCTAAAAAAACATCAATATTAAACTCAAAAAACTCAATTTTAACGAGGTTATAGTGGTTTTTAGTTTTGACTCAATTTTGGTACCACAAATCGATATTTGGTAGAAAATATAAGTGATCACAAATTAAAGCGTTTTTCTTAAAAAGCTCAATATTAACGAAGTTATTGAGGTTTTTAGTTTGGACTCAATTTTTGTACCAAAAATTGATTAACGCCTTTTTCTCAAAAAACTCAATATTAACGAAGTTATTGAGGTTTTTAGTTTGGACTCAACTTTAGTACCAAAAATCGATATTTGGTAGGAAATATAAGTGATCACAGATTAACGCGTTTTTTCCAAAAAAACTCAATATTACCGAAGTTATGGAGGTTTTTAGTTTTGACTCACTTTTAGTACCAAAAATCGATATCTGGTAGGAAATATAAGTGATCACAGATCAACGCGTTTTTCTCGAAAAACTCAATATTAACGAAGTTATAGAGGTTTTTAGTTTTGACTTAATTTTAGTACCAAAAATCGATATTTGGTAGGAAATATAAGTGATCACAGATTAACGCGTTTTTCCCAAAAAAACTCAATATTATCGAAGTTACGGAGGTTTTTAGTTTTGACTCAATTTTAGTACCAAAATCGATATTTGTTAGGAAATATAAGTGATCACAGATCAACGCGTTTTTCTCAAAAAACTCAATATTAACGAAGTTATAGAGGTTTTTAGTTTTGACTTAATTTTAGTACCAAAAATCGATATTGGTAGGAAATATAAGTGATCACAGATTAACGCGTTTTTCTCAAAAAACTCAATATTAATGAAGTTATAGAGGTTTTTAGTTTGGACTTAATTTTAGTACCAAAAATCGATATTTGGTAGGAAATATAAGTGATCACAGATTAAGGCGTTTGTCTAAAAAAAATCAATATTTACGAAGTTATTGAGGTTTTTAGTTTGGACTCAATTTTAGCACCAAAAATCGATATTTGGTAGGAAATATAAGTGATCACAGATTAACGCGTTTTTCTCAAAAAGCTCAATATTAACGAAGTTATTGAGGTTTTTAATTCTGATTTAATTTTAGTACTAAAAATCGATATTTGGTATGAAATATAAGTGATCACAGATTAACGCGATTTTCTTAAAAAGCTCAATATTAACTTTAGTACCAAAAATCGATATTTGGTGGGAAATATAAGTGATCACTCAATTGATTCAATTTTAGCATCAAAAATCGATATTTGGTAGGAAATATAAGTGATCACAGATCAACGCGTTTTTCTCAAAAAACTCAATATTAACGAAGTTATAAAGGTTTTTAGTTTTGACTCAATTTTAGTGCCAAAAATCGATATTTGGTAGGAAATATAAGTGATCACAGATTAACGCGTTTTTCTCAAAAAACTCAATATCAACGAAGTTATAGAAGTTTTAAGTTTTGACTCAATATTAGTACCAAAAATCGATATTTGGCAGGAAATATTAGTGACCACAGCTTAACGCGTTTTTCCCAAGAAACTCCATATTAACGAAGTACCATTTTAGGACCTTATGTGGGAGGTAGGGTCAATTATTAATCAATCCACATACAATTTGGTAGAGAGATTTTTACTCGCATGGAACTTATTTCTGTCGAATTTCATCGCTATATTCTTATTTTTAAGCCAGTAATGAGCGCTATAGTGATTTTCCGAAGGGGACCTTATATGGGGACAGACAGACAGACGGACGGACGGACATGGCTAGATCGTCTTAGATTTTAATAAGGACCCAGAATATATCTCTAACGTGCTTTCAACAGACAGACAGAAAGACAGAAAGACAGACAGACTTTTATGGGTCTATGGCCAATATTTCGATGTGTTACAAAGGGAATGACAATATCAATATACCCAGATCTTTTTTGATAGTGGGTATAAAAAGAAACAATTTGTTGTTGTCTAAAAAAATGTTAAAAATTTAAACAGGTAGTCAAAGCTTCCGGCATACATTTTAATTGATTTTCTCAAGTTAGTCCTATATATGACCTTTTTAATTCGATCTTTTTGTTATTTGACCAAGATTTTTAACCAATCATTAATATTGAATTTTACTGAATTTTATTATCGTGTATCAATAGTTACATCAACATCAATACTATTTTCGGAACAATGCCTAATATTTCGGTTCCTGTAAAATTTATTTATAGTGAATTTCATAGGTATCACATAATTTTTAAGTCAGTAATAAACGTTGAAGTAATTTTCTGAAGGATATCAAGGGCCTATGGGTGTAGGGTCATTTATGAACCGATCCTCAAATTTAGTAAAAAGATTTTGGTTCCTACAGATTTTGAATTTTATATCTACACTGCTTTTTCTAAATCAGTTATGACGGATTTAATTATATACCTGGCTGCGACTTGTATAGAAGCTAAGTGAAATCATCAACCGATATGGCCCATTTTCAATACTAAACAAACTGCATAAATAAGAAATATTTATGTAAAGTTTCTAGCTCGTTTCGTTAGATCTCTTTTGTGGGTCTACGACTAATATTTCGAAGTGTTACATACGGAATAATAAAAGATTGGAACTTATTTTGTTTAGGTCCTGAAAAATGTATATTAAGTTTTTCATAGACAGACAGAAAGGCAAACGGGCGGACATAGCTAAATCGAATCAGACAATATATGTTGGGTCTAAAAATTAAGATATTAATACACAAAATCTTTATCAGATTTCCTATTTAAATTAACATTAAAATTTAAATTTAACTACTCTTTTTATACCGGCCTCTCTTCTAGATTATTCCCAATACAATTTTGCTGACGGCATTATATTTATAAAATTAAAGTTCTACATGTAAAAAAAATTGTATGAAGTAAGGTACAAATTACTGAGCTATCAAGTAAACATCTTATTTTCAGATATCATCAATATATTTTCTTCGAACTTTAAAATGAATAACAACATTTTTTCCCTTCTAATACCTTTGGTCGTCAGTGTAGTATTAATAAATTTTGCAAGAATCAAAGAAAAATATAAAATAAATATTATTTAATAACCTGTTAGAATTTTTGATTAACTTTTTTCTGAAAAGAAAACATAGACAAAATTAACATTATTAAATTAGTTTATTACTATGTATTAAGAATATTTTCTGTAATTTGTTAAATAAAATCTTATAAAATGTTAAAATTCACTTACAGACACTATTTAAATAATTTCTAGCCTCTCCAAAGTAACTTGAAAAATCTTAAATTTATTATAAGTATTATAACAAAAATTCAATACTAAATTTCAATTTTCTTTAATCATCAAATCTTAAAAATTTGTTATTAATTTTGCTGCTGTTGTTTATATTATTGTTGCTGTCTGTCTTTCATTACTGCAGTTTTAATTGTTACAATTGCTCAAGTATCATCTCCTTTAAACACGTACAGATACACTTTTAGATAGAGAGTAGTAATCAATTGAAATATCAATTCATTAAATCAACAGAAAATGTCAATTGCTTTAAGTGACAAAACACTTAATAGAAACCAATAGAGAAAATATAAATACACTTCAAATCATTCTGACAATAAACATATGTACGCACTTATTAGACTATAGGCATACAAAGTGCACATTAGGGTGTTTTTTCTTTATGTAACCCGCGCTCAAAATTCTAAAATACCCAATTCACACAATATCTTTATTACACTGGTCTTTAATGAAATCTTCGTTTAAGAAAAATTATAATAGAAGTTATGATATTAATATACAAAGCCTACATCAATTTTTTCTGTCTTGTCGAGTTAGTTAGTTAGTTAGTTAGTTAGTTAGTTAGTTAGTTAGTTAGTTAGTTAGTTAGTTAGTTAGTTAGTTAGTTAGTTAGTTAGTTAGTTAGTAGTTAGTTAGTTAGTTAGTTAGTTAGTTAGTTAGTTAGTTAGTTAGTTAGTTAGTAGTTAGTTAGTTAGTTAGTTAGTTAGTTAGTAGTTAGTTAGTTAGTTAGTTAGTTAGTTAGTTAGTTAGTTAGTTAGTTAGTTAGTTAGTTAGTTAGTTAGTTAGTTAGTTAGTAGTTAGTTAGTAGTTAGTTAGTTAGTTAGTTAGTTAGTTAGTTAGTTAGTAGTTAGTTAGTTAGTTAGTTAGTTAGTTAGTTAGTTAGTTAGTTAGTTAGTTAGTTAGTAGTTAGTTAGTTAGTTAGTTAGTAGTAGTTAGTTAGTTAGTTAGTTAGTTAGTTAGTTAGTTAGTTAGTTAGTTAGTAGTTAGTTAGTTAGTAGTTAGTTAGTTAGTTAGTTAGTTAGTTAGTAGTTAGTTAGTTAGTTAGTTAGTTAGTTAGTTAGTTATAGTTAGTTAGTTAGTTAGTTAGTTAGTTAGTTAGTTAGTTAGTTAGTTAGTTAGTAGTTAGTTAGTTAGTAGTTAGTTAGTTAGTAGTAGTTAGTTAGTTAGTTAGTTAGTAGTAGTTAGTTAGTTAGTTAGTTAGTTAGTTAGTAGTTAGTTAGTTAGTTAGTTAGTTAGTTAGTTAGTTAGTTAGTTAGTTAGTAGTAGTTAGTTAGTTAGTTAGTTAGTTAGTTAGTTAGTTAGTAGTTAGTTAGTTATAGTTAGTTAGTTAGTTAGTTAGTTAGTTAGTTAGTTAGTAGTTAGTAGTTAGTTAGTTAGTTAGTTAGTAGTTAGTTAGTTAGTAGTTAGTTAGTTAGTTAGTTAGTTAGTTAGTAGTTAGTTAGTTAGTTAGTTAGTTAGTTAGTTAGTTAGTTAGTTAGTTAGTTAGTTAGTTAGTTAGTAGTTAGTTAGTTAGTTAGTTAGTTAGTTAGTTAGTTAGTTAGTAGTTAGTTAGTTAGTTAGTTAGTTAGTTAGTTAGTTAGTTAGTTAGTTAGTTAGTTAGTTAGTTAGTTAGTTAGTTAGTTAGTTAGTTAGTTAGTTAGTTAGTTAGTTAGTTAGTTAGTTAGTTAGTTAGTTAGTTAGTAGTTAGTTAGTTAGTTAGTTAGTTAGTTAGTTAGTTAGTTAGTTAGTTAGTTAGTTAGTTAGTTAGTTAGTTAGTTAGTTAGTTAGTTAGTTAGTTAGTTAGTTAGTTAGTTAGTTAGTTAGTTAGTTAGTTAGTTAGTTAGTTAGTTAGTAGTTAGTTAGTTAGTTAGTTAGTAGTTAGTTAGTTAGTTAGTTAGTTAGTTAGTTAGTTAGTTAGTTAGTTAGTTAGTTAGTTAGTTAGTTAGTAGTTAGTTAGTTAGTTAGTTAGTTAGTTAGTTAGTTAGTTAGTTAGTTAGTTAGTTAGTAGTTAGTTAGTTAGTTAGTTAGTTAGTTAGTTAGTTAGTTAGTTAGTTAGTTAGTTAGTTAGTTAGTTAGTTAGTTAGTTAGTTAGTTAGTTAGTTAGTTAGTTAGTTAGTTAGTTAGTTAGTTAGTTAGTAGTTAGTTAGTTAGTAGTAGTTAGTTAGTTAGTTAGTTAGTTAGTTAGTTAGTTAGTTAGTTAGTAGTTAGTTAGTTAGTTAGTTAGTTAGTTAGTTAGTTAGTTAGTTAGTTAGTTACTTTGTTAGTTCATAACAAATCTATTTCTAACACTTTACACTTAAACAAACAGCAAATTTATATATTATAACTAGATTGAAAGAACAACAAGTTAGAGTGCTATATTCGGCTGTACCGAATCTTAAATACCCTCCACCAGAAAGCTATTTTTAATTAAAACCCATTTAACTATCTAATTTTTAGATAACTTGGCAAAAATGTTGTTTCCGTGTTGATATGCATATTAACTTTATTTGACAATGAAATATGTGCATTTAAGTGATCTTCGGAAATGGGCCTTATATGGGATCTATGACCAATAATTTACCTATCCGGAAAAAAAGTTGTAGAATGATTTATATGATTTATATATTTCGTAGAGTGACTCATATAAAGACATAACATACGTATTTGTGTCGAATTTTATTAAGATAGCTTTATTTGGTAATGAAATATGTGCTTTTAAGTGATTTTCGGAAGTGGGCCTTATATGCCCTTATATATGACCAATAATGGACCGATCCGTAAAAAAATTTGTAGAATGATTTGTATGTATACAATCATATTTCTGTCGAATTTTATCTCGATAGCTTAATAATTCAATAAAATATATATGGGAGCAATGACCAATTTTGGGAAACATTTTCGTATCGAATTTTATCAAAATAGCTTTATTTGACAATGAAATGTGAGTTTTTAGATGATTTTCGGAAATGGGCCTTATATAGCTATGGCCAATAATGGACCGATCCGTAAAAAATTTAGTAGAATGATTTGTATGTACACAAAACATATTTAACTCGAATTTTATCACAATAACTTTATTCATCAATGAAATATGTGCGTTTAGGTGATTTTCCGAAGTGGACCTTATGTGGGAGCTATGACCAATTGTGGACCGACTGAGTTCTACGTTGATAATATAATTTCTGTTCATATTATATTTGCATGTACAAAATTTTGTGTTGATATCGATATATTTGATGGAGTTATTAACGATAACCTAATTTCCGGGAATATATATATACCTTTGTAAGGGGGTTATGGGAAATATTGGATTGATTGTAAAGATTTTGAACATAATTGATCACTGCCCTGAAAAAATAATGTGTGACAAAATTCATCGAAATATCTTTGGTAGTTTCTGAGAAAACGTATTTTTTTCGAGGTAGTCTGAAATTTTTACTCATAACTTTTTACGTTGTGAACCAATTTTGCTGACTCATAACTTTTTACGTTGTGAACCGATTTTGCTGATTTTCAAAACCAAACTGCGTAGGATAATAATAAATATTTTGGGTGAAATTGGTTTATTTCCTTTGCTTAGTTTTAACGTGAGTGTGTTTTACACAGACAGACAGATGGACACACGGACATAGCTAAATCGACTCAGAATTTGATAAGGACCCAGAATATATATACTTTGTTGGGTCTTAGATGAATATTTCTTGGTATTACCCACGGAACGACAAACTTATATATACCGTCTATCACCACTTATGGTGGTGGAGGGTATAAAAAAACTAAGTAGAACACCATGACCTTTACAATTTAAAGAACACCAACAAAACATTTGTAAAATAGAAAGTACATATTTCCATATACTTTGTTTTTGTATTATGTAGCATTTTTATTTCAATTTAAAGTTTTTGTAGTAAAAAATAAAGAGTCAATATAAATAAATTCCTATACAAAATAAATAGATTTTATTGAATCTATAGAACAAGGTAAAATATTTTATTTTTTGTTGCTTTTCATTGAGCTGGTTCAATGCCTAAAGGATTTCTATCAGTCTAACTACTACAGTAGAGTTCTAGAAGGCTTTTTATATTGCGTGATTGTTGTAGAAGATTTTGTTACAGGATGTCGATGTTCGCATGATTTGGCAAACAATTTGAATTTTTTTATTTTTGTTTGTGATTGTAATAGATAAACTTTTACTAATGCCATATGTAGTCGAACTTTTACATTGGTTTCATACAATATGTAGACATTAGATTCCTCTATTTAGTGTTAAGCCAAAGCAGCTTAAATAGTTGAAATGTTTGAATATAATGATAGTGAACTTTTATTTTAAATGTTTGTGAGTCGATTAAGTCATATCTGTCCATCTGTTCGTATATAAATAAAAGTATAAAAGAAATATAAAATTTAAATAAAAATGAATATATCCACCAAATTTTATGGCTCACATTTACGATAGTCTCCAAATAAGGACTCATTTTCAACAATAAATTGCTTAAAAATATAGCAAATTAGTTACAATTTCACATTTAATTATAATTAACAGAAATCCGACTGTACTTTTTTTCTAATCAGAATGTTTGAATTTAAATATTTATTTTAGGATCTATGTATATCGGTCCGTCTTTCTGTTTACCGAAAGCATACAGAAATCTTCTCGCTTTTGACGTCAAAACGGTAGAAGCTAAAGGCACACAACACGGATTGAGGCGGCAACCCTATTCACGCCAAACTAACAGGATATATGCACGCTATAATCCAAAATACCAGGGTCTCATACTACCCCGTACTAACAGCTAGTCTAACGAGGAACCATCTGTTATATTCAATAAGAGGCCAGTCACTAACCCATTTGTATCTTTATCGC